AGCATCAGCAGCAGCAACTGAAGCATCAGAATCGCCATCGTTATCATCAGCAGAATCGGAATCATCATGATAGTCATCATCACCATCATCATCACCATCACCATCACCATCACCATCACCATCGCCTCATCATCATCATCATCATCATCATCATCATCATCATCATCATCAGCATCATCATCATCCACTTCCCGTTAATATGGTTTCCGTACCCTTGTGCTGCTCCTCCTCCTCCAGTGCCCACCTCCCTCCCATCCCCGACCTCCAGCCTTCCATCCTCCTCCCCTGGGGGTGTGCGAATGCGCAGGCTGGGCAGGGCGAGCAAAAGCGAGCACTGCACGGCTGACTGGCACTTCTCAGCCCCAGACCAAGGTCCCAGGGCCCGAAACTGGGCGCAAACGCCCGATGTGAAAAAAATGCAACGCAAGGATCCGAAGGCCTTCCCAGGGCATTCCCGCCTCTTGGGCGTTGCCTTGTTGGGGGGTGGGGGGGGGGGGGGCGACACATGGGGGGCCAGCGAGCTGCAGAAAAGGGGCCCTTAAGGGCCCCTAGGAGGGCCCTTTAGGGCCCAAAAGGTGGCCTTTAGGGCCCGACGAGTGCACCTTTCGCCCCCCCCCCAAGTATCGCCCGCCCCCCAACGAAGTGACGCACGAGCCTCATCTCCGCCCCCTCCCCTGCTCAGGCGGACTCGGGGCGGCGTCCTGCCCGCCAGCGAGAACGGGTCGAAGCCGGCGTCCCCGGGCACGTTGCGCACGAACGCCCGGTACGCCTGCGAACCCCTCTGCGGGGAGGGTCGGGGGCAGAGGGAGAGCGAGGGAGAGAACGACGGGCAACAGGGGAGGAGGAGGAGCAGGAAAAGGAAGGCAGGGAGGCGGGAAGGATGGAGGAAAGGACGGAAGAAGGCAAGGATTAAAGAAATGAGAAGGAGCGGGGGGAGGAGTGGTGGAGGAAGGGGGAGGAAGAGCACGGAGAGGAGGACGAGGGCTTAGGAGGAGGAGGAGGAAGAGGAGGAGAGGAGGAGAGGCAGGAGGAAAAGTAGGAGGAAAAGTAGGAGAAGGGGAAGGAGAAGGAGAAGGAGAAGGAGACAGGAAGGAAGGATGAAAGGAAAACGAAAAGGAAGGACGAAAGGGAAGGACAAAAGGAAGGAGGGGGGCAGAGGGGAGGACAAGGGCGGGGGGCGGGGATGGCGGTGGAGTTGGAGGAGGAGTGGGAGGAGGAGGAGGAGGAGGACGACGACGACGACGACGACGAGGAGAAGGGGGAGGAGGAGGAGGAGGAGGAGGAGGAGGAGGAGGAGGAGGAGGAGGAGGACGAGGAGATCAGCCTCGCGAACCTATCGGCAAGTACAGTCGAACAATGGCGCCGAGGCTGCGCACGTGCAAAGCTCCACCGGGACATTTCATTGCGACCTCCAACGGCCAACCGAAAATCGGGAGGTCCAACTCCGCTGCAGTTGCGCCAGAAAGCGAGACCCGGATAATGGCAAGAGGCCCTGGCAGTCTACAAACCTCTGCCGCATTCACCGAAGGATCCTGCCTCGCAGTCCCGGGAGCAGGAGACAAACATAGCAAATCCCTCTCTACCCCCTCCCCCACGTCGTCCCCTTCCTCCTTCTCCTTCTCCACCCCCTGCTCCTCCTCCTCCTCCTCCTGACACGTACCCAGGGGGGGACGGTCAGGCCGATGACGGTCTCAGCCTCGATGAAGCGCTGCTCGCACTTGAGGCACAGCAGATCGCACAATTCTCTGTGGGACGGGTGCGGGGTGAGAAGAAAGAGTGGTGCACAGGATATGGGAGGCGACGACAAAATGGCAGGCAGCAGTCCTCCTCCTCCTCCTCCTCCTCCTCCTCCTCTCTCCTCCTCCTCCTCCTCATTCCTATCCTCCTCCTCCTCCTCCTCCTCCTCCTCCTCCTCCTCCTCCTCCTCCTCCTCCTGTTCCTCCTCCTCCTCCTCCTACCTCCTCCTCCTCCTCCTCCTCAATCATCATCATCATCATCATCATCATCATCATCATCATCATCGTCATCATCAGTAGCAGCAGCATCAGCATCAGCATCAGCATCAGCATCAGCATCAGCCTCATCTCCTCCTCCTACATCTCCTCCAGCTCCTCCTCCTCCTCCTCCCTCCTCCTCCTCCTCCTCCTCATCATCATCATCATCATCAGCATCAGCATCAGCATCAGCATCAGCATCAGCATCAGCATCATCATCATCATCATCATCATCATCATCATCATCATCATCATCAGCAGCAGCATCATCATCATCATCAGCATCATCTTCCCTGCTGTTCCTCCCTATCCCTATGCCCCTTCCCTACCTCCTCCTGCTCATCCTCCTCTTCACTCTACTGTTCCTCTCATCCGTCCTCCTCCTCCTTCTCCTTCTCCTCCGTCTCCTCCTCCTCCTCCTCCTCCTCATCATCATCATCATCACCATCATCACCATCATCATCAGAATAATCATCATCGGCATCATCATGATAGTCGTCATCATCATGATCAGCAGCAGCATCATCATCATAAGCATCATCATCGTATTCATCATCATCATCATCATCATCATCATCATCATCATTATCAGCATCGTCATCATCATCATAATCAGAATCATAATAATAATCATCATCATCATCATCATCATCATCATCATCATCATCATCATCATCATCATCATCATCATCATCATCATCATCATCATCATCATCATCATCATCATCATCATCATCATCATCATCATCATCATCATCATCATCATCAGCATCATCATCATCATCATCATCATCATCATCATCATCATCATCATCATCATCATCATAATAATCAGGAGCATCCTCATGATCGTTATCATCATCATCAGCAGCAGCATCTGCATCCTCATCATCATCCTCATCCTCATCCTATCCTCCCGATCAGCATACTAATAATCCTCATCATCCTCATCATCATCACCACCACCATCATCACCACCACCATCATCATCCTCATCAGCATCACCACCACCACCACCGCCATCATCATCGTCGTCATCCTCAGCATACTCAACCTCAACAGCATCGTCATCATCATCATCAGCAGCATCATCATCAGCAGCATCAGCATCATCATGAGCAGCATCAGCATCAACATCAGCATCAGCATCAGAATCAGCATCAGCATCATCACCATCAGCATCATCATCATCAGCATCATCAACATCATCATCATCATCAGCATCATCATCATCATCATCAGCATCATCATCAGCATCATCATCAGCATCATCATCATCATCGTCATCGGCATCGGCATCGTCATCGTCATCATGCTCGGCATCGTCATCGTCACCGTCATCGTCACCGTCATCGTCATCACCATCACCACCACCACCACTACCATCACCAACACCAGCATCATCGTCATCCTCCTAATCAGCGTCATCATCATGAGCAGCAGCATTATCATGATTAGCATCATCATCGACACCAACAGCACCATCGTCATAATCATCATCCTTATCATCAGCATCATCATCCTCATCATCAGCTGAAGCAGCGTCATCATCATCATCATCATCATCATCATCATAATCATAATCAGCATCATCATCATCATCATCATCATCATCATCATCATCATCATCATCATCATCATCATCATCATCATCATCATCTTGATCATAATCATCGGCATCATCAGCATCATTATCATCGCCATAATCAGCATCATCATCACCATCATCAGCATCATCATCAGCAACAACAACATCATCAACATCAACACCACCATCGCCATCATGATCATCCTTATCATCAGCATCATCAGCATCGTCATCAGCAGAAGCATCATCATCATCATCATCAGCATCATCATCATCATCAGCTTCATTATCATCATCGTCGATAACATCATCAACACCACCACCACCATCATCACCATCGCCACCATCATCAACCTCGTCATCATCATCATCTTCAACATCAACATCATCGTCATCAGTATGATCATCAGCATCACCATCAGCATCAGCATCAACATCATCATCAGCATCATCATCATCATCGTCATCATCATCGTCAGCAACCCCATCATCCTCATCCTCATCGTCAGCATCATCATCATTATCCTCAACATTATCAGCATCATCATCAGCAGCATCATCACCAGCAGCAGCATCGTCATCATCATTATCATCATCATCATCAGCATCATCATCATCATCAGCAGCAGCATCACCATCATCAGCATCATTATCATCACAAGAGGGTCCTGCTTGTGCCACTGAGGGATTGCATGGGCCCGGCGAGAACTTTCTACGCTGCCGCCCGTGGGCGCATCGTCGTGGCCACCTCGTGCGCTGGGTGGGTCTGGCGAGGTTTCGCCACGTTGCCGCCTCGTGGCCGCCTCGTGGCCGCCTCGTGCACCAAAGGAACCCGACTACATTTCGCCACGTTGCGGCCTGCGCGGCCGCCTAGGGCCCGCCTCGCGTGCTGGGCAGGCGGCCCCACATCGGGTCGGTAAGTGGAATCTGATCGGCGCCGAGCATCGAAGCGGCAAAAATCGGCCAATAGTCGGCTGCGCCATCGGATCGGTGAGAATCGGCAAGCCCGACCCAGATCGAATCGGAAACGGAAGGCAAGAAAGGAGGTACAGGTCGCGCTTGGCCCGAATTCTGTTGTCGCACATCTTCGTCGTACGTCGTCGTGCATGTCGTCGTCGTACACGTCGTCGTTCGCGTCGTCGCACGCGTCGTCGACGTCGATTAGTTCAATGGCGGGCCCCAAGGGGCCCCTAGCGACCCCAAGGAGCCCCTGGGAGCCCTTGGGGGCGTCTGGCCCTGGAAACCCCAGGAGCCTTGGGGACCCCTGGGGGTCCGGGCCAGATCCATGGGGGGCCCTGGCAACCCCCAAGTGCCCCCCCCAGGGGTCCCAGGCCCGATCCCTGGAGGCCTCCAAGAATCCCAGGCCTGACCCCTGGGGGTCTCGAGGCTCCAGGGGGCCCAAAGTGGTCCCAGGCCCGGCCCCGAGGGGCCCCTGGGAGCCCCCAGGGCCCCCCGGGATCCCAGGCCAGACCACCAGGGGCCCCCAGGGGGGCCCCAGGAGTGCCAGGCTCGACCCCCAGGAGGGGCTTCCAAGGTGTCCCCCGGGGCTCCTAGGGGTCCCAGCTCCGACCCCTCGGGGCCCTGGGACTCCCAGGGCCGGACCCTTGGGGGGCCCCTGTGCCGGGAGGAGGGCGAAGGAGGCACGGCGCCTCTGGAAGCCTGCGGGCGCGACCGGGCCTTGGATCGAGGCGGCGGCGGTCACGGCAAGACACTGCGCTCAAAACAGCGCTCGGGAAGGCTCGGGCTGACGATCGGGGCCCCGTCGGGGCCTGGACATGCAGCCGCGTGGAACACAGTGCGGCCTAAAGCAGACCTTCGGAGCGAAGACGGATCGGCCAGAATCGGCAGAAATCGGCTGACACATCGAATCGGCAGGAGCCGGATGGGGCAAACTCAAAATCGGAATCGCGAATCCGAATCTCCACATCGAATCGATTCGAACCGACAGCTGGGGAAATCGGATCGAATCGGGCTGGCGGAGTCGGAATGACCCCTGGCTGGCTGGCTGGGTCTGGCGAGGTTTCGCCACACTTCAGCCCAAGGCCGCCTCGTGGCTCTGCCTGACAAGCAGATGTCTCTGGCGGCTGCTTGGTTCACAAAGGCTTGGCTTTCAATTCTACACGCATGGGGTTCCACAAGCATGGGACTCCACACGCATAGATAGGATTCCGCACGAACGGTGTTCCACACGCACGAGGTCCAACATGACGTAGTTCTACATCTGGGCCCACATACGCGGGTACCAATAAGTGGTACACACATGAAATATTAGGTTCCACGTGCTGGCACACCACCATCATCATCATCATCATCATCATCATCATCAGCATCATCATCATCATCATCATCATCATCATCATCATCATCATCATCATCATCATCATCATCATCATCAGCATCATTATCAGCATCAGCATCATCATCATCAGCAGCAGCATCAGCATCATCATCATCATCAGCATCATCATCCTCATCATCATCACCAGCATCATCAGCAGCAGCATCACCATCAGCCTCAGAATCAACATAATCCACATCACTATCATGACCACCACCACCATCATCACCGTCATCGCCATCACCGTCGTCACATCATCCTCACCCCTCTCCTGCTCCCTCCCCCATGTCCTCCATGTCCTCCCTCCCTCCCTCCTCCTCTCCGTCCCATCCACTCCTCCCCTCCATCCACCCCTCCTCCCCCTCCTCCCCGGGGGGAGGAGGGGGAGGATGATGTCGAGGAGTGGAGGAGGATGGTGAGGATTTTTTGGATTGCGCTGCTGATGAAGCGTATGGCCTGTCAGCTAATGGCGGCGCTGCAGCTAGCAGAGGCAGTCAGCGCAGTCAACTCGTGTGGCTGTGCTAAGAGGCGAAGCTCGCAAACTCTGCACGGGAACCTGAAGGAGAGCGAGGATGGGAGGAGAGGGAGGCTCCCCTTCCTCCCCTCCTCCTTCTCCGAGCCTCCCCCCCCGCCCCGCCGGCTCTGGCAGGAACGGCAGCGCGGTGAGGCGGAGGAGCGAGCGCATGGCGTACTCCTGCGGGCGGCAGCGGCGGGCTCTCCCTGCGCGCGCGCGGGTGCGACAAGCGAACAAGGAGGCGGACGCCGACGACGACCACGACGACGAGGACGACGACGACGACGACGACGACGACGACGTCGCCGACGACGAGGGGCGGGGGTTCTGGCTGGCGAGTGAGTGAGGCCACCCGACGTATCGGACCCAACATCCTTCCATTCGTTCCATCAACTCCCTAAGGCGTTCGCCTTCCGACTGAAAACGGTTCCAAAAACGACGGTGCGGGTAGCAAGGTCCACTGGTCCCCCCCCCCAGGCGCCCCCCCCCCCACGCCGCCCCCCCTCCCTGGGCCCCCCTTGGCGCCTCCCTTTGCGCCCGCCCGAGCGATGTGGTAGAATCGCTCCCTCCAAAACCCGACCTCGTTCTTATACCTCGGTACGACCGTACTCGCTCTTCGGGAGGCCTAGAATCCAGTTCTTCGGAGCGCCAGGAACGCGCCCCGGGGAACGGGGCGACGGCGGGAGCGGCGGCGGCCGACGACGACGGCGCCGAGACAGGCCCCAGGGCGGCTGACCGAGCCGTGCTCGGAGCTCGTGAGGTCGATCATGGACAGGCGCCCCTCCCAGACGGCAACGTCCTGCCGCGGTAAGCGTCGAGAAGCATTTCGGCTCTGATTTTGTCCACGTACCTTCTCGCCTCATAGCTCGAGTCTGCTCACCATGCTCATCCTCCGCGTCCCCCGCCTATCTCTGATCAACTCCGTCCTCCCTCTTACGCCACCATCTCCTCCTCGTCCTCCTCCTCGTCGTATCCTCCTCCTCCTCCTCCTCCTCCTCCTCCTCCTCCTCCTCCTCCTCCTACTACTACTACTACTACTACTACTACTACTACTACGACTACTACTACTACTTACTACACCTACTACTACCTACGACGACTACTACTACTACTACTCACACGACGACGACGACGAATATATAATACTACTGCTGCTACTTACTACTACTACTATACTAATATTACTACACTACTACTACTACTACACTACTTAACTGACTACTACTACTAATACTACTACTATACTACTACCTACTACTACTACTACTTACTACTACTAATACTACTACTAAGACTACGATACTTACTACACTACTAATACTCCTACTCTACTACTACTACTATACTACTACTTACTACTACTACTCACGACTACTCCTACAGGAAACTACTACTACTACTACTACCTACTACTACTTGTTACACTACTACTACTACTTACTACTTACTACTTACTACTTACTACTTACTACTTACTACTTACTACTACTACTACTACTACTACTACTACTACTACTACTACTACTACTACTACTACTACTACTACTAATACTACTACTACTACTACTACTACTACTACGACTACTCCCTACATACCTACTTACCTACCTACCTACCTACCGACCTACCTACCTACCTACCTACCTACATACAACCGACTACTTACTACCTACTACCTACTACCTACTACTTACCACCTACTACCTACTACGATTACTACCTACTACTACTACTACTACTACTACTACTACTACTACTACTACTACTACTATTACTATTACTACTACTA